TTCCGTTTCTTAATTTCTTTGTGCCCAAGCATTGAAAGGAACTTCTCTTGCAAATAATCCGCTCGGCACCAAAAGCATTCAGGGGTTTATTTTTTTTTCTCCCTTCGCCATTGTGGTTTGGAAAAATGGAAAGCGCTTTGCATCTACACAACTTGGAACACAATATTTAATCCTTTGTATTGTGGCATGAATAAAGAAAGACAAAATATCAACACATCTCTTTAAGTCTTTTTGCAACGTTAGAAATAGTGATGAAAATTAATTTTTATGTTGATTTGCAAAACTATTTCATGCTTTAATGCTAAGAGCTTTCCAAAACCAAATTACAGAAAGCCAGGTTGAGAGGTAGATTTTAATTGCTTGTATTTGGAATAAATTTGACTCTTTTTTTAAACTTAATTATAAATTTCCCTTAAAATTTTAAAATTTGAAACCCTAGTTTACAAGGAAAATAAACTTTGAAATGGCAGACACGAGTCAATCAAATTCCTCTCCTCAGGATATTGAGCAGTAACCGAAATGCAGGCAATTTTTTGGAATTGCTTCTCCATATCAGGGGTTGATTTGCAAGGGAAAGAAATAGAAGGGGGCGAGTGCTGATGGGGCAGAGCGATTTTCCATTTGCTCTGAAACTGATAAAGGCGCGGCAGGAAGGGAATTCGCTATACTGGGTGCGTAATCCGATTTTTGTTTGATAACTCGAAATTCACGGGAGCTCGGGGAGAAAGAGAGAGAAAAGGAAACATCAGCAGAAAGCGAGCGTATGTGTGGAAGGAAATATATAAAGAGTGTACGCGATACACACATTGCAGATGGAGAAAAATTGCAACGCTCGCTCCCTGGGGCGATGCATGCAAACGCGTCCAACTTTTTACGAGCGGATGAAATCGCGTTGGGTTTTTTTTTGCACGGCACAAGACGTGAGCCATAAAAGCTCGGAACTCATCACCGGGCCATATTTCCCGATCAGCGAAATTAGAAAATAAAGCCGAGGGAGCACTTGAGTCCATAAATATTTTTTATATCGTCGCGCTCTTAGCTGACTGCAAGGAGTGGCTAAAAATCAGCGGAGCACTTGAGCCCAGGATTTATGTGGGCCCCCGAGTTAAGCCGCTCGCGAAATGAACGCGCGCGCGCCTTTTATGACGAGACACGACTTTTTACTTTAGAGGACCTCGGAAATCATTCCATGGAGATAAATCAAAACACAGAATGGAGAGAAAGCGCCCTTTAAAGGAGAGAAGGCCTTTTGTGTGAAAGGGGAGATGCTGGCAAATGACTTGCGAATAATTGTGCTGTTTACTGTCAGAGGAAAGTGTTTCTCTTTCAAATGTGCCCCAATTAGTCTCCCTTTTTCCTTCCGAGAGGACCGCCGCGGAATTTAACTTGATAACAATAATGCACAATTTTCCCTCTTCACACCACACTAATTTGCAAGACGCACCTTTCCTCAGAAGCCGCACACTTATAAGTTCATTCAAAAAGGGATGGAGATTGTTTAACACCTCTTGAGAACTGTCAGATGTATCAAGAGTGTTGCCATTATTAGTCGTCATGGAAATAGTGCACAACGGCAGCAGCCTCTCTGAATTTCAAAGGAGTTCCACTTGAATGGAATATAAAAAAACAAACGTTTGAGCTCCCGCAGCCATCAAAGGCGGTGAAGAGATAAAAAGAAGAAGCATCTGTTGAGCAGGTTGCATAACTATCTTTAATCTGTCATGTATCTAGATAATCGTAATTCCTTAGAACTCTAATTCTCTCTACTTAGAACTAGGGATACTTCTCCTCTCTGAATTTGATAATTTTTTTCATCATAGACGAATATTATTCCATTAAATATTATAAAATCATTGTTTTATTTGACAATAAAAAATTTAAACATGAGTTGCAGAAAATTGCCGACTTCCTGAACACTAAATTTATCGAGCCACTTCCCGAAATGAGTGAACAAGAAATACAACTCGCCATTGAAGACGTCCCACTAGTGGAGACGATATTTTCACTTAATCAATTGACAACACCAGACGAGATTCGGAGAGTCATTGGCGCCTTTCCTGCAAAAAAATCAGCTGGCTGGGACGGAATATCCATGAGCGTCATCAAACAAATTTCCGCTTACATTGCAACGCCACTTTCGGATTTAATAAACTGTTCCTTCGTGGAGGGGAAATTTCCTGAAAATTTAAAACTGGCGACCATTGTACCTATCTACAAGAAGAAGGGCGAGGAAAACGACGCAGCAAACTACAGACCAATCGCTCTCACGTGAGCGGTTGCAAAAATATTTGAGAAATGCTACCTAAATAGAATTGACGCCTACTTTTCAGACAATCAACTAATTCAAGGCTTCCAGCACGGCTTCAGAAAAGGCAAAAGCACGGTAACAGCACTCTATGACCTAGTCACGGACTTGCACTCGTCTATCGAGAAACGAGAGAAAGTGAACATGATCCTATACGATTTCTCGAATGCGTTTGGCTGCGTTGTGCCCGAAATCCTGATCGGGAAACTGAGATGCTATGGACTCGATGAAAAATAACTCTCTTGGATGAAATCATTCCTCACGGGTCGGAAACAAGTGGTTCAACTTAGGCACCTTGACGAAAACCAGACCATAACGAACGTAACATCTGCAACGTTGGACTCCTCCATTGGAGTACCGCAAGGAACGTCGCTAGGACCATTTAGTTACACGGCCTATGAAAACGACTTTTCGTTGGAAAGCGTAGCTGCCACCCTCTATGTCTTTGCCGACGATTTGACGAGCCTCGCAAGGGGTAATACATACACCGAAGCTAACGGCAAAACCTCGCAAGTTAACAAAAGTGTGGAGACCTTCGCCGAAAACAACCGTCTGAGACTAAATGCCTCAAAGACGAAGGTCATGCAAATTCACACCGCTCAGACAAAGAAGTTGGAAAAACCTTCTGTTCAACTTAACAACACGGAAGTCGAAGTGGCGAATGAGAGCAAGATTCAAGATTCAAGATTCAAGATTTCTTTATTTTGTTAAGCATTATATACCACATAACATACATAGTAAATAACAGCTTTTTAAAATAAGTCAGTGTACATGGCATTATTTAAACGATAAAATTCGTTCAAGTCATAGAATTTGTGCTCTAACACAAAAGCTTTCACCATTTTTACAAGAACCTCGTCATTTTCGAGGACTTTTAAAGATATCGGTAATGCATTAAATATTCTGGGGATCATGATTTCTGGGTTTTCTACAGATTTCTTAAGCTTTACTTCTTTCACAACCAAATCATTACAGCAAAGATTAGTCTGATTATGTCTAGTCACTCTCCTTGTATCTACAGTATCACTATATTTCTGAAATAGGTTTCGGTTTTGCACCAAGAATTTTATACATTCAAGTATATACAACGATGGCACGGTCATTATATTATATTTGACAAATAATGGTTTACAAGTATCCAACGCTTCATTAGATCGCCAGTAGGGAATGCCCGCCATGGCTCTCAACGCTCTTTTCTGTGCTCTAAATACTTTGATTAAATGACTAGAACCCCCCCAAATTACAATCCCATACATTATATGACTCTGAACGTGTGAAAAATAGATCAATTTTAGAATGTTATCTGACACCTTGTATTTTAGTCTAGTGAACACATGAGAGACTCCTCTCATTTTATTGACAACCTTATCACAGTGATCATTCCAGTTAAGTGTATCATTAATTTGTACTCCCAAGAGTTTACCAGTTTTACAGATTTCTATACTCTTATCTTCAATTTTAACATCAGGTTGAACAAGATTTTTTGTTTGGCTGGTATGTATTTGTAGTATTTTAGATTTTTCTGAATTTATCCTCAAAAAATTATCATTAGCAAAACCGACAAAACTGTCATTTACAGCCACCGTTTTAGTATTTACCTCAGGGAAAGACTCTCCCTTGACTATAGCCGTGGAGTCGTCGGCAAACAAAATCAGGAGGGCCAAGAACACAGCGAGAGGAATATCATTTAAATACATAGAAAACCCAATTGGGCCGAGAACTGTGCCTTGCGGCACACCCCTGTTACTCTCTAATATATCCGAGTTAATAAACTCCTCGTACCTATCACAACCAAGGTTCTTGAGCTGTACAAATTGTTTCCTATTTGATAAGAAGCAGGCCAACCACGAGAGCAAGTTCTCGTTTAGACCGTATTGTTTTAACTTATGTATAAGGAGAGGTGGATGAAGGGTGCCAAACGCGTTAGAGAAATCATACAAGATGACATTCACTTTTTCTTTTGCTTCAACTGATTCGTACAAAGATGTTACATAGCTATATAAGGCCGTTACAGTATTTTTTCCCTTTCTAAATCCATGTTGCTCAGGTATTTGGATATTATTAGTGTTCAAGTGGTTTTCCAATCTATGTAAAAAGGCTTTCTCATATACTTTCGATATTGATGACGTTATCGCAATTGGTCTATAATTTGAAGGGTTTTCTTTTTCGCCCTTTTTAAACAGTGGGATAATTTTAGCAAGTTTCATATTTTCGGGGAAACTACCTTTTAGGAATGACTCGTTTATTAAATAAGTAAGAGGCGCAGTAATATACATTGAAATTTTTTTCAGTACAGTGGTTGAAATTCCATCCCACCCAGATGAATTTTTAGATGGGAGATGATTTATTATACTATATATTTCAAACTCCTCAAAAAGCTGTAATTCTTGTACCATATTACCAAGGTTATCAGTCACTTTGGAACAATCAGCTAAATTTATATTATTTAGGTCAGGCTCTGGTTCAACAAATACATTGTTCAGGCAATTGGCGATATTAAGTTTAATTGATTCTTTAGCACCGTTTATATTTAATTCGTCAATATACTCTGAATTTTTACTTTTCCCTAATTTAGTGTTTATAAGTTTCCACGCTGCACTAGATTTGTTTTTAGATGTTGCAATTTTCCTATCATTTACTTGCTTTGTTTCTATTTGTATTTTATTAACAACTTCCTTCTTTCTTTCTTCTTCAGGTTCTGGGTGTAATATTCACTGACACAATGAACTGGCGTGCACAGTGCGAATATGCGAGTGGGAAACTAAGAAGTGCAACATACTTGTTTGTGAAAATGGGCAAGAGAGTGCCTAAGAGTAGTCTCAGACAGGTATACAGGGAGTCCCATATCTCAACGACACAAAGTACGGCCGCCTCCCGGAGCGGCCAATGGTCCGATTTGAAATTTTCCGACGACAACTTGTCCAGAAACTGTCCACAATTTTGTGGAGTGATATTGAAATTTTTTGGTCGACGCGTTAATTTGCTACGAGCGTCGAAACGAAGTCGAGACTTTGCTCTTATGGGAAATCCCATGTTAAACTAAAATCGCGTTTTTGCATCAACGAGAAAAAAAATGTTCTCGTGCGAATTTTTGAACACAATTAATTTTAATTGTGTTCTGTCAACTGGAGGAAGTCACAAATCAAATACCACCCCATAATTCACCCTTCAACCCTTAATTTAGGGTGAAAATGTTGGTTAATTTGATTTTTGCAGGGTGAAGAGTTGCTCAGGAAAGACCAATTAGGGCTGAGAACATGAAATTTTTATTGCAACTTGTTCACAATATCCATTGGCCGCACCCCAGGCGGCCACACCAGCGAGATTGGTCTCTGGAGCTGTCGACTTGCATAAATCCACAAAAATAGCAATTACGTGGAAAAAAATGAATGCGTGCAGATTAAAATCTGAAATTTGGTACAGGGGTACAAATTATCATGCTAAGAAGGGTCATCGGTGTCCCGACCGAATTTTCCGGAAAAGTGACCAATTTCACAAGGGGTGCACGTTTTGGTCGATTTCTCAATTTCTATGGGAGCTAAAAACAAAACTTTAAGTGATTCTGAAAGCTGATTAAATTTCCTATCTTTTGTTTGTGGACACTAACTTTCCAACGCTGGCTGCTTTTCCGGATGAGTGAAGTAAAAAAATAACTTATTTTTCCCAGAGCGTATGCAACCTGCAACAGAAAGACTAAATAGCCAAAATGTAACTTGGTTCTTTGGCAAAACACCCCTAAAATTTCAAAACTTTTCCTCAAGCCGTTTTTCCGCAATAGCCAAATTTCCCAACCCCTTTTGAGAAAATCAAAAATTTTCCGGAAAGGCATGTGTGATGCATCATTCGATTGGGCACGTCAAGGAGGTGCTAGAAATAAATTTTTATCAAAATCGGAACGTTTTTCAAATTTTTAGAACACTTTGAAATTTAAGATTTTTTTAATTTACAAAAAATGTTCTAAAAATTTGAAAAACGTTCCGATTTTGATAAAAATTTATTTCTAGCACCTCCTTGACGTGCCCAATCGAATGATGCATCACACATGCCTTTCCGGAAAATTTTTGATTTTCTCAAAAGGGGTTGGGAAATTTGGCTATTGCGGAAAAACGGCTTGAGGAAAAGTTTTGAAATTTTAGGGGTGTTTTGCCAAAGAACCAAGTTACATTTTGGCTATTTAGTCTTTCTGTTGCAGGTTGCATACGCTCTGGGAAAAATAAGTTATTTTTTTACTTCACTCATCCGGAAAAGCAGCCAGCGTTGGAAAGTTAGTGTCTACAAACAAAAGATAGGAAATTTAATCAGCTTTCAGAATCACTTAAAGTTTTGTTTTTAGCTCCCATAGAAATTGAGAAATCGACCAAAACGTGCACCCCTTGTGAAATTGGTCACTTTTCCGGAAAATTCGGTCGGGACACCGATGACCCTTCTTAGCATGATAATTTGTACCCCTGTACCAAATTTCAGATTTTAATCTGCACGCATTCATTTTTTTCCACGTAATTGCTATTTTTGTGGATTTATGCAAGTCGACAGCTCCAGAGACCAATCTCGCTGGTGTGGCCGCCTGGGGTGCGGCCAATGGATATTGTGAACAAGTTGCAATAAAAATTTCATGTTCTCAGCCCTAATTGGTCTTTCCTGAGCAACTCTTCACCCTGCAAAAATCAAATTAACCAACATTTTCACCCTAAATTAAGGGTTGAAGGGTGAATTATGGGGTGGTATTTGATTTGTGACTTCCTCCAGTTGACAGAACACAATTAAAATTAATTGTGTTCAAAAATTCGCACGAGAACATTTTTTTTCTCGTTGATGCAAAAACGCGATTTTAGTTTAACATGGGATTTCCCATAAGAGCAAAGTCTCGACTTCGTTTCGACGCTCGTAGCAAATTAACGCGTCGACCAAAAAATTTCAATATCACTCCACAAAATTGTGGACAGTTTCTGGACAAGTTGTCGTCGGAAAATTTCAAATCGGACCATTGGCCGCTCCGGGAGGCGGCCGTACTTTGTGTCGTTGAGATATGGGACTCCCTGTACTTTGCATACGTGCAAAGCAATATCTTGTACTCGATTATTATCTACGGTTCCTCCCCATACTTTAATCTTGTCGCTATCGCGCAAAAACGAGTGCTGCGGGCTATGGCTGGCAAACGGTACTGGAAAGGACCCGATCCACTTGAGTCATGCAGACAACTATTCAAAGACTTTGACATCCTCCCAGCGTTTTCTTTGTACATATTGGAGTGCGCGAAGTTTGTAAAGAAATACCCTGATAAATTTGCCAGAAACAATGAGGCAGAGGAAGTTCACGTCTACAATACGAGAAACAAGCCAGTGAACGAAGAAGACCTTCACATACCCCCAGTGACACTAAACTTGACAGCGCAAAATCCGGCGGTCATGATCGCTCGAATTTACAACCACTTGCCTGCCGAGTTAAAACAAATTGAAGATCTAAAGACATTCACCCTGAAACTGAAACAAGTGCTAAGTGAACACAACTTCTATGACATACACGAATACTTACTGTGCAGTTTTGACAAGTGAAATTTCTCGCGCTATAATCCTATAGTTTTTTCCCTTTGCCCTAAGCAACGGGTTTTTTTCTCTAAATTTTAATTTTAGACCTGACATGTTCTAAAGACTACTGTTAATATTCTTGTCTAACAGAACAACAATAAAATTGAATTGAATTGATGGACATTTTTTCTAATTTCTATAGATTAGTTCCTACATTTGAGCAGATTATGTTAAGTATACAAAAAAATAACTTTTAGTTACACTTATGTTATTAATGAACTTTATTCCTCGATTAAAATTATTAGAATTTTAAGTGCTTTTATTATGTAAATTTTCAGTCTCTGAATCGGGACTTTTTTTAAATATTAATTTTTTGTATTTTTTTCATATATTGCTTTTGAGCTTTCTAGAAACTGGCAAAAGGCAGCGCATTTTATTTTTCTTGAAAAAATCTCTCTCTCCTGCACACACACTTGTACGTCTGATACTCGAAAAAGAGCTCCGTGCACCGGGTTCTGAAAAGGTGAGTTTCAATTACAGTAATGGCCCGGCGGATCCTTCCGGCCGAGATTGAATGCGTGTGTGTGCCTCTGGCTGACCGGCCGGCCGACGTTTGTTTGTCGTCGGCGGCGGCGGCAGGGAGGAAAGGGTGCTGCTGTTTTCTGCGACCGGCCGCTCTTAAACAGGCAATACAAATTCAATTCAGCGGCAGCAACAGCGAGCATAAATAATTTAGGGCTGCGGCAGCGCGCGCCGAGCAACAACCCATTCTTCTTGCGGTTTGCGCGATATTGAAATTCGGGCGTGTGTGCGTTCGCGAATAAATTGGCTTGCGTCGAAAAGCATAAACATGTCTGCAGGCGGCGCCCCCCTTTCCTCCTTTCGTTCGCCTAAAATATTCCATTCATCCATATTCATACGATTCAGACTCGATCAAGCGTGCTTTCAAGAAAACTGTAAACACGATACTGAAAGCGCCTGCAAAGACAGGCACCTATTGACGTTATTCATAAGTTAGCGCAGCGGTTGCTTATTTCAAAATTCCCCACACTAATTTATCTGTTGAAGGGAGAATTCCGAGAAAGTAGAAGGAAAGTCAACATAGAATTTATTAATTACAATCTCATTCAAAATTTATTTCCAGGAGGAAGTCTGAGGTGTGTCAATTATTCACGGTTTCAATGAGAGCAAAATGACCAAAATCATTTTGGTAAAAAAAACAAATTAAATTTGAGTTTAATTTGTTTTTTTAGACTTTTTAATGCAAATGTAATTCCACTCTGATAAACAAATATTTACTAATTTTCAGTATATAGGTTAAAAAAAGCAGTCAACCTCCTTAAAGGTTCTGCAGGTTCCGTCTTCAATGAGAAGTCATTTTTTGCGTCCAGAATGATTCGCAAATTTGATTGTTCTATAACAATTGCTAGAAAAATATTCTGTGATTCCTGCATCAAAATGAGCTGAAAAGTTTGATTTTTCATTCCGTAAACCATTTAATTTAAACTTAGCCTTTTCAATAAATAAGCAATGAAGCTCGTTCAGTTCCTAGAAAATTGCTATACATTAAATCATCTTTTTTCCAACGCTTTATCAATGCCTTGTCAGCTAGCTCTATTTGTATTTATGGAGTTGGCCTTTCTCTTTCCCTCTCTCACTCTTTTCCTTTGGTGGGAACTTTGTAAAACAAAAAAAACTTTTGCCCATCTCTGCCCATCCCCACGCTCAAATTCGGTCCATTTCTGAGGGAGGAAGTTCGGCTCCCCCACAGCAGCACGGTGAAAAAACAATCGTGTTCTCTGCTCGGTCGCTTGATTGCCGAACGAAATTTCAGTCCTCGGAGAGCACAAATGGCTATCAGCGTGGCCAAATCTTAAGCCCGGGCATTTGTCGGCAGCGCCAAATCAGCCCTCGAGCGTCCCAAAGGAAAAGGCGAAATCAATCGGCCTTCTGTGTCATGTCCACATCGGCCGGGTGAAAAATGGACTCGAAACAACGCAAGCCAAGACTGAGATTTTGAGATTCCGCCTCGGGCGCCGCCGCCGCGCTCGCATAAAAGACAGACGCACGCTGTTTGCTTTTCTCTTTCCCTCCTTTTGCTTTCTTTGCTCCACCGTTTTTTTATCGAATTTTTGCACGCAGTGATATCCCGGAAAGCCGGAATCGGGAGAGAGCGGAATTTTATTTCCAGTTAATCCCCCTGCCCAAATCGGCCTAAAAAGCGAAGGCAGAGAGAAAAAGAGAGGAATTCCTCGGATTGGGACACTTTGTTTAATCGCAGCTGGTCGGTGCGCTAAAACTC